CCCTCAAGTGTTGGGCTAACAAGAAGGGAGAAAGACAATTAAGGCCCTCCAAATGATTGGGCACGTGAGGAGACTGGGGAAATAGCTAATGTTCTATGAGACAAAACTTTAGGAAAAAGTAAGCAACTTAAGATAAAAAAGGCAGACAAAGGACATTGGAAACAACATATAGAAAAGTGTATACAAATGGCCAAAAACATTTGAAAAGATGCTCACACTTAGTAGTAGTCATTACAATGCAAATTCAAGTATAATAAGATATTATTTTATATATCTTATACTGTCAACAATTAAAAATAACATTATCACTGAATATAGGTGGTCATATCACTAGAGGTGAGGTCCAGATAGCTGTGTTTTTAACAAACTTTCCAGGACATTATGATGAACATGAACCTTTGAGAACCATTGCTCTATAAACCTATAAGCAATAAACCATTGTTATATAACCTACAAATTGCTGCAAGCTTTTTGGAAAGCAGATTGGCAAAACCTAATGAAATTAAAAATATATATGCCCAGCATTCCTAGTTGTAAAGATCTTTCCCACAGAAGGAAGCTCTAGGAAATAAAGATATTTCTAGGCAAGGATATTTTGTGCAGCTTTGTTATAAGGCAAAAACCTGAAAGAAAGATGAAGATATAACAGAATATTCAATAAATACATCCAGTATTAGGAAAAAAGGACTTTAGATATGAATTAGTTGTATATTAGGACAGCTTTCAAAAAATTTTTCCATAGAGGAAAGCAAGTTGTATAAAAATCTGCCAATATGATCCAATTTTATTATAATAAAAATTCTAACTTTGTGACAAGCAGGAGAGAGAGAAGGTAAAAAGGCAAAGAACATAAAACGATACTATTAAGAATGCCTAACATCAAAACAAAAAAATATAAAATAACAATGGTAAAAACATTTAGGCAGTTTGGTGACTTGCCCAAAGTCATGCAGTTATTAAGTGACGAAGCCTACACAGAAAGATAAATGCTGATTCCAGACTCCTCTGTGTCCAGGATTCAACATTATGTCTCATTCAAATGTTAAATTCTGGAATAAGCTGTTCTGTTCTGATCCAGTTTTGTGCTCATCCATAGGAGATCATATATAGTAGCCACTCATGAAACATTTTTGCAAGAATGAAAAAAAGAAAAAGCAATGTAAGCATATTTCAAATTGTCAGGCTGGCAATATTGTATTCATTTTACTTAATTGTCAGAAAATCTTCCCAAAGTACTATTTTGTTGCCTCTCTCGTATTTAGGGAACTTGCTTGATATTAAAAAATTTCAAAAGTGGGGCACCTGGGTGGTGCAGTCCGTTAAGCATCCAACTCCTGATTTCTGCTCAGGTTGGGATCTCACGGTTCATGAGATTCAGCCCCACGTCGGGCTCCGTACTGACCGTGTGGAGCGTGCTTGGGATTCTCTGTCTCCCTCTCTCTGTCTCTCCCCCATTTCCTCTCTCTCTCTCTCTATCTCTCTCAAAATAAATAAACATTTTTTTTTTAAATATTCAAAAGCTAAGTCCAACATACCAGCCTGTGCTTATTCCTTCTCCTTGTACACATGCTTCCACCAGTCCACCATTCTTGGCCTCACCAAAGCCCCTTTCTCAGAAGCCCCTCAGTGCTTTTACTTGAGACTCCTGCCTCTTTTCCCCTTTGCTCTACCTTATCTATCAACACCTAGTTTTTATTTCTATCTCTCCCATAAAATTTTCTCAGAATAATTCTTATATTTTCATAATTTATATTTACCTACATTATAAAGCACCTAAGGGCAGAGTCTATACTCTAAGCTATTTTGCCCACCCATAGGACCTTTCTCAATACTTTGCATATTTAGTAAGATTTTAATAAATGTCTATCCATGATTCAAGTTTTTGTTCTCTGTAAACAGGAATATTTGCCACTTGTCAATGTCAGCCTTCACATTGCTTGTTTTGATAGTGTCTGCAGCCCAGATGTCCTGAATGGAATCAATTATAGTCCCTCCACGATCCCTTATCTCTGTGTTTTCTGCCCAGTTACTGACACCACCATTAATTCATCTGTCCAAACCAAAAACATATATTAGATTCCTTATTTTTACCTCTTGTATTTAATTGGTTGCTAAATTTAATTGATTTTTCCATTGACACACACTGCCACTTAATGTATTTCTTTCCTTTCATCCTACTGTCAATGCCCTGGTTCATGTTGCTGTGCTCCCAGTTACTTTTGTAGCAGCTTCCCTACTGATACCTCCAGGTTCTCACTCTCTAGTCCCTTCTTCACAGGGTCACCAGAGTTGGCAAGTGTCATTTCCCTTTTTGAAAATCATTAAAAATAAAGAATAAGCATCATTGTATGGCATTTTATTTTTTGTTTGTGTATTTATTTATAAATATGAAATTTATCATTGAATTGGTTCCCATACAATACCCAGTGCTCATCCCAACAGATGCCCTCCTCAATGCCCATCACCCACTTTCCCCTCCCTCCCACCCCCTAACAACCCTCAGTTTATTCTCAGTTTTTAAGAGTCTCTTATGGTTTGCCTCCCTCCCTCTCTAACTTTTTTTTTCCCCTTCCCCTCCCCCATGGTCTTCTGTTAAGTTTCTCAGGAAACTTAGTTTCACATAAGAGTGAAAACATATAGTATCTGTCTTTCTCTGTATGACTTATTTCACTTAGCATAACACTCTCCAGTTCCATCCACGTTGCTAAAAAAGGCCATATTTCATTCTTTCTCATTACCAAGTAGTATTCCATTGTATATATAAGCCACAACTTCTTTATCCATTCGTCAGTTGATGGACATTTAGGCTTTTTCCATGATTTGGCTATTGTTGAGAGTGCTGCTATAAACATTGGGGTACAAGTGCCCCTGTGCATCAGCACTCCTGTATTCCTTGGGTAAATTCCTAGCAGTGCTATTGCTGGGTCATAGGGTAGATCTATTTTTAATTTTTTGAGAAATTTCCACACTGTTTTCCAGAGTGGCTGCACCAGTTTGCATTCCCACCAACAGTGCAAGAGTGTTCCCATTTCTCCACATCCTCTCCAGCATCTATAGTCTCCTGATTTGTTCATTTTAGTCACTCTGACTGGTGTGAGGTGACATCTCAGTGTGGTTTTGATTTGTATTTCCCTGGTGAGGAGTGATGTTGAGCATCTTTTCATGTGCCTGTTGGCCATCTGGATGTCTTCTTTATAGAAGTATCTATTCATGTTTTCTGCCCATTTCTTCACTGGATTATTTGTTTTTTGGGTGTGGAGTTTGGTGAATTGTTTATAGATTGTGGATACTAGCCGTTTGTCTCATATGTCATTTGCAAATATCTTTCCCATTCCGTCGTCGATTGCCTTTGAGTTTCATTGTATGGCATTTTAAATCCTCTCCCATTGATTCTAGTACTAACTTTTTTGCCTCGTGGTTTCCCTTCTCATTCACACACAGTGTCATGTGTTTGCATACATTCTCACCTTTCCTCATGTTTCTCTTCCAATTTGAAATACCTCCCTCTCTTCCCTACTAAATTCTAGCCCCATCACATAGGAAATACTATAACATATTAGATACTGTTGTTATTGTTAAAGGATGAATCCACATGATTCTTTGTGAACTTTGTCTTCGTTTTGCCAACAAATATCAATGGGTCTTTCCTCTATCTTTTTTTTTAAGTAAGTTGTCACAGAAAATTTTAATTTTTTTTTGTTTTTTTGTTTTTTCTATTTTAATATTTTTTAAAGTTTTTATTTAAATGTCAGTTAAATTTTTTGATTTTTTATGTTATAGTCACATTTCCTTCTCTTCACACTTGATTGCAAGGTCTTTGAGAAGAAAGACTATGACAGACTCATCTGTGTATTCTCACAGCATCTAGTCCAAACGTGGCACATAGTAATCACATAGTAATTGCTTCTTAATTGTTGGATGAATGTGAGAAAGAATGAATGGTTTCTCTCATCTAATTGTGCTGAGGAATTGTTTATACTAAATTATTCACATTGTCCCATCCATTTCCTTCACCTAGCAATAGCAATCATGTGTTTGTTTTTAATACATAATTTAATTTTTCACTTTATATTTTAATTACGGTGATATATGTACACAGATGAAAACATTTTTTAAATGATTAATAAAGAAAAATACCAGTTTCCCACTCATTAGCATGCCATTCGCAACTCTTTTAACTATTTCTTGTGCTTTTTAGATATATGTTCTTAAATATGTGTGTACTGAAATTAGTTTATTGATTGTAGATATTATCTACTGATTTCAAATTATACTTGGTAGATGAGTAGTTAGTTCTGTCTGGTAGAAAAGACCATAATCTCAGGCCAAGCAACAGAGTTTTGTCTACACACAGCCAGTTGATTCTCAAAGATACTGGGCCTGTGATTTTCCCTGTGTTCACCTCTGACTCTGTCACTCAACTGAAAGCTTAAATGGTATAATCATTGGCTTAAGTCTTGGGACTCTGTACAGAGTCTCCTGTAATGCTATTAAGCTTTAAGTTCATTCTTGTGTTTAAATATTGGTTTAATATTAATTTCTCATATTTTGTTTATTAAGTGTAATATTTCATTAAAGCCTTGGAAAACACTCTATATAGTCATCATCCACATACCTCTATGCATTCACTTATATGACTTTTGGAAAATGCTAGTGCAATTTCCAGTTTGTAAACCCATGGAAATACAAATAATGTAGAAATAACATCTATAGAGAGCAATTATTCCTTTGAAACTTTTAAAGAAAATATTGTATCAATATCACTATTAGGTAAAATTTAACATAAATCTCAGAGCAATTCCATACATCTCCAAGAGAAAATTTGCAAAGTTTAGTTTTTACTTCTCTTTCCTCATCTGGATACAACTTCATACCTCAAGGGGAAATGGTGTCAAACATAAGCTGTGTTTGTCCTAGACATGTTCATTTAGTCAGAAGAGGTCAACCAAAGGGTATGAGATGTCCAAAAGATTTTCTCCTCATACACTGGCCAAGAATGTATAATAAAGATAGAGATAAGATAAAGAAAGCAAAGGTAGGTGCAGCCTAATCCTAGATGGTCTGTGCTTAGGAAGAATGAAAGTTTTAATTGTTAAAATACAGAGCCAGGTGATGTTTCATATCACTGTGTGGTCAGATTATTAACAATGGTGTTGTCATGAGCAACATCATTATTATGTCTGAGCCATGTGTATGCAGGCTTCTTAGTGATTCACAGTGATATCATCAGTATGGGCCAGGGGGTACTGGCAGAGACAAAGACTGAACCCAACAGAGGTAGGGCCAAAGAAAGCTTGTTTTTGAGTCAACATTAATCTCTACAGGATCTAAACTGAGGAAAGCCCAGACTGTGTCCATGACGGAACCCAAGCAAACAATTTTAATGAAGGTAAAATCTTCATTAAATAAATAGGCTAACATGCAAATTTTAAATGGAGAAAAACAAATACAATGAAATAAAATAATACCCCATTTCCTAACATATTTTCAGAAGTCAGTCTTTGGGCAGTGATTGCTGGGTTTCTTCACTAGGTATCCTTTTGGAGTGTGATAGTTTTCATCTGGCATGTCTTTGTCTATTACTTTCTTTGTGGGTTGTTGAACTGAACAGAGGCAGACATTACTCAGAATGAGGATGGAGACTGTCTGTTTTCTAGTAACAGAGCTTTATTTTAAATGTCTGCTTGCCCCAGATTTTTTTTTTTGTAATGATGCAATAAAAAAAATCTTAGGATGTTTATCAACTTCTACATCTAGAGAAAGATTCAGATTTTTCAAGGCTTGAAGGTGCTTACAAAAGGATGGGTTTTAAGCAATAGAGTTGCTTTTCTGATGTCTAAAGCTTCCAAGAAAAGTTTTCTCATTTCAGAATTGGGACTATTTAAACAACTTCAAATCATTATTTTTCATTAAAAAAATCACAATTCATGAAAAAATACCTGTGTGTGTAGAAGTTGCATACAGAAAAGAGATCATGACTAGCTATTTTATCATTAAGTTAATATTTTTTTGTGTTTTTCTAACATATATTTATGTAAGATGACAGTCCTGCATTTGGCCAGAAAAAAATAATTCAGTTAATTTTGAATATTACTTCCTTACATGTTTAAATGGAAAATAATGAAAATGCCCTACTGGAAAATGAGAGACAGTTCATCTTACTTGCTCCTGGAGTCTTATATGAATCATAGAAAAATATTAATTTGACTCATATATAAGGATTTTCTCTGATTGAATGAGAAATGATTTATCTCTGTATCTTTCCAGTCTTGTTACCATATCAAGTATTACAGTTAATTTTTCCTCAATTTTTACTCCAAATGAAGTTTTGAAAATTTATTCTGATGTTGGAATAATATAATATTGAGGGCTAAATTATAAATCAAGACACCAGCATTGGGACTCCAACTTGGCCATGGATTTGCCATGTGGTCTTAGGTCTAATCCAATAATCTCCTTAGGCGTCAGTATCTGCATCTAGAGAAATCTACAGGGGATTGAATATAATGGTGTCTGAGGCTCCCCTTGGCTTCTGCATTAGGTAAAAGCCTTTGGTCACAATTGGTATGTATTTTACTTTGGTCATTAGAAGTTTGCTCTGGACCTACCTCATGTAAGGAAAGATGCTGTATTATATTCTTCTTACCAGAGTCAAACTGTTTTCAAATTCACTTGTAGCTGGGAATGAAGAGCTCTCCCCTAAGGGACATATGTTTCTCTCCCAAGAGGGGCATATGTTTTCTATTTGGAAAACAGATCTGCAGAGGCCATTCTAATCAGGCTGTGCACCTTCCTTTCAACTTGACTGTTCAGTAAACAAAACAATACCTCCAAACTATTCCAAATACCAGCATGAGCTGCCATCCTTGATAAGTTATTGTGTGAATCTCTCTTTCCTTTTTGCTTTTATTGGAAGTGACATAGTATTTCTGCATCAAATTAAATCTGGCCCACATGGAGCTCTTTTACACAGAAAATGAGAGAACATGGGTTGTTGGCAGATGTAAGGTAAATATAGAACCTCTGATGGTGTTTGGGTGCTATGAAGCTTATTCGTTGCCACAGACCAGCAATGGCTACATTGTTCACAAATAGTGAGGTTGTGATAAAGTTGTGCAACTCCTCCAAAAACTGGGGTACTAAAATTTATACTAATCACTTTACTGCCAGTTGTTTTTACATGTCAACATATATATCTAATTGTGCTAACTTTTATGGCCTGTTGTACTTCTTTCTATTCCTTTTTTGGTTACTATAGAAAGGATTGGCTTATTAGTCTGGGTGGAGCAAAAAAATGATGGCAGTCAGTCTTGATTCTGAAGTGTATTCTGGGGTCTGGGAAATGGAGTTTGAAAGAATTCTGAACTCAATTCAGTATATTCAGCAGTTTAAGTGAAACTATACTAACCTTAATATCATGAATTGGCAGAACATGAACTTGAAGACAGGTTAGATCTTTATGGGGCAACAGACTTATTACCCCTGGTATGAAAATATGACTAGTTGTATTTTGTTCAAAACCTAGTAAACAATACTATGACATTGTAAGTTGAAACATAACTTGATTTTGAATTTACAGTTTTGAGTTCATATGGGCTGTGCTGCTTCCTAGCTTATATTTCCTGTTCACTGATATATGACATTAATTAAACAGGGAATTAATGAGGGCCTACTTTCTGCCAGGTACTTTATCAGATGTTGGGACTATATAGCTCAAAGTTGACTGGAATTCTAGGGTGTTACAGAGTTTAGAATGTTGCTTATCTTTTGGTTTCTAGAGAATAATTAACTGCTGAGGTTCTTTGTGGGGGACATTCTAATTACTTCACTATTACATTCAAGGAGAGAACTCTGAGTTCTTGGCATACACAGGTCCATCTCACATTTTGAGAATTGGCTGAGGTACCCTAGAATGTTATAGGAACCCAGCATTGACATTTGCTAATAAATCTAGCATTTAATTCTTTTCCTGAGTCTTAAGAGCCTTGGGTTCAGAGTCTTTTCACCTATGAGTAAAGAAAAGGCAATTTTGAGTAAAAATAAAGCCAACAAAATATCCTGCTCATGGTCATGCATTTTTTTTCCTGAAAGATAGAGAAGATCTAGGGGGAATCACTGTATGATTCCTTCCATACAAGGTTCTTGGATCCTGTTTGTAAGTGATCAGAAGACTAGGAACAGCATACTTTATGGAAAGTTAGGACAAATTCATTTCTTTTTTTATGCATATTATTTCCTTTTTCTATGTTCTTTGTATTCACTATATTTTTCTTTTTCCTAATTTTTTTGTAATTTTTTTGTAATTTTTTTTTAAATTCATTCCAAATTAGTTAGCATATAGTGCAACAATGATTTCAGGAGTTGTTTCCTTAGTGCCCCTTATCCATTTAGCCCATCCCCCCTCCCACAACCCCTCCAGTAACCCTCAGTTTGTTCTCCATATTTATGAGTCTCTTCTGTTTTGTTCCCCTCCCTGTTTTTATATTATTTTTGTTTCCCTTCCCTTATGTTCATCTGTTTTCTCTCTTAAAGTCCTCATATGAGTGACGTCATATGATTTTTGTCTTTCTCTGACTAATTTCACTTAGCATAATCCCCTCCAGTTCCATCCACGTAGTTGCAAATGGCAAGATTTCATTCTTTTTGATTGCTGAGTAATACTCCATTGTATATATATACCACATCTTCTTTATCCATTCATCCATCAAGGGACATTTGGGCTCTTTCCATACTTTGGCTGTTGTTGATAGTGCTGCTATAAACATGGGGGTGCATGTGTCCCTTTGAAACAGCACACCTGTATCCCTTGGATAAATGCCTAGTAGTGCAATTGCTAGGTCATAGGGTAGTTCTATTTTTAGTTTTCTTGAGGAACCTCCATACTGTTTTCCAAAGTGGCTGCACCAGCTTGCATTGCCACCAACAATGCAAAAGAGATCCTCTTTCTCCACATCCTCACCAACATCTGTTGTTGCCTGAGTTGTTAATGTTAGCCATTCTGACAGGTGTAAGGTGGTATATCATTGTGGTTTTGATTTGTATTTCCCTGATGATAAGTGATGTTGAGCATTTTTTCATGTGTTGGTTGGCCATATGGATGTCTTCTTTGGAGAAGTGTCTATTGATGTCTTTTGCCCATTCTTTAATGGATTATTTGTTTTTTGGGTGTTGAGTTTGATAAGTTCTTTATAGATTTTGGATACTAACTCTTTATCTGATGTGCAAATATCTTCTCCCATTCTGTCAGTTGCCTTTTAGTTTTGCTGATTGTTTCCTTCGCTGTGCAGAAGATTTTTATTTTGATGAGGTCCCAGTAGTTCATTTTTGCTTTTGTTTCCCTTGCCTCTGGAGACAGTTGAGTAAGAAGGTGCTGCAGCCAAGATCAAAGAGGTTTTTTCCTGCTTTCTCCTCGAGGATTTTGGTGGCTTCCTGTCTTATATTTAGGAATTTCATCCATTTTGAGTTTATTTTTGTGTATGATGTAAGAAACTTGACCAGGTTCATTTTTCTGCGTGTCGCTGTCCAATTTTCCCAGCACCATTTGATGAAGAGACTATCTTTCTTCCATTGGGTATTCTTTCCTGCTTTGTCAAAGATTAGTTGCCTATATGTTTGTGGGTCCATTTCTGGGTTCTCTATTCTTTTCCATTGGTGTGAGTGTCTGTTCTTGTGCCAGTACCATACTGTCTTGATGATTACAGCTTTGTAGTATAGCTTCCTAACTTCTTGATATATGGATACTTAGATTATTGACTTTCAGCCATTTTTCTTTTTAAATATATGCATTTAAGGCTATAAACTTTCCTTAAACTATGATTTTAGTTATATCTTATAAGTTTTAATATGTACTATATATATTAAACAATTGACCCTTGAACAACAGGGGTTTGAGCTGCACAGGTCCACTTATATGTGCATTTGTTTCCATAAATACAGTACAGTACTGTTAATGTATTTTCTTTTCCTTATGATTTTCTTAGTAACCTTTTCTGTAGCTTGCTTTATCGTAAGAATATGGCATATAATACATTTAACATACAAAATATGTTAATCGATTATTTATGTCATTGGTAAGGCTTCTGGTCAACAGTAGGCCATTAGTAGTTATGTTTTGGGAAGTAAAAGTTATATGTGGATTTGTGACCGTGCAGGAGTTGGCACTCCTAATCTCTGTGTTGTTTGGGAGTTAACTCTTAGTTCAGTTAAAAATATTTTCTAATTTTAATTGTTTCTTATTTTACCCATGGATTAGAGATGTATTCCTTAATTTCAAAAAAGAGACTTTCTAGTTATCTTTTTTCTATGACCTCTAGCTTAATTCCACTATAATTATAATACATCCTCCATATTATTTCAATTTGAAATTTGGTGAGATTTTCTATATAGTAC